TAAGGAAGAGAGGGGCCAAACACTCATCTACCTTCATTTTCTTGTCCCCTTGCGTAAGCACAGAAGCATTTTTTTATGTCTTTAAAATAAATGGCCATTGAGGCAATAAAGCCTTGGTATTATACTATGGCCTTTCTTTTAAAATGCCTTACTACTTAGTGAAAACATTAAATATTTTTTCCCCTTAATGATGACAGCAGGATTTACAAAACTGGTAAAAGGCGTGGAAGAGGGTGGTATGGAAGAACAAATTAATTTAGAAAAAGTGCATTGCCTGAAATTTAATATTGTGTTTTTTATGGTCTCTATGGCGAAGTAGATGCTGTGAGATAACTAACAGAAGTATAACAAACAACTCTCTTGATACACAAATTACAGGACTTCGCCACAATCTCAAAGAAGTCAAAGCAGGAAAAAAAAAGCCTGAAGCTAGAAATAGTATAATTAATTAAGGAACACAATAGAGGAGCAATTTCAGGGAAGTGCACAGGGAAGTAAGGCAGACAGCTGGGGAGAATGATGCTCTGCATAGCACAAAACAAAGGAGAAGGAAGTTTAAGAATAAAAGTATTGTATTTTTAAACCTAATTCAGTGAAGCAGAGGGTGGAAGGCAGCACGAATCCTCACAACCAACTTGTTATGTGCTTTGACTTGAGATTCCTCCTGGGAAAAGCAAACAGTAAGAGAAAGCTGCTTCAGAGAGAGAAGAACTCTGGGTGGAGACTCTGGAGAAGCACAACCCAGCTCCGCTTCTCAGAGTAACTCAGCTTTAACAGACTCAGCTTTTTTTACTGCCATCCCATAACCTTGTCTGGTATAAGAGTGGCCTCCGTGGAAATGGGCAGATACAGGACAAACCTAACCTTGGGGTGCCATGCAGAGACTGCCGCCCCAAACACATATGGGACTTCTACCAGCTGAGACTGTCATTTTCTTCATCCCGTTGTGAAGACTAGTTTGAAGATAACAGATTATCCCTAAGTAAGTATGAACCACTGCCTCTTCTGCAAGCAGAAGGCAGCAGGAGAAGAATTTTTGACTCCTGGAGCTGTGATGAGTGTCACACTATCCTGCTGTCAGCAGCTCTGCTGTTATTCCAGCCTAAGCAAAATTTGCCTCTGCTTGTTTCCCCATTCCTCAGCCACACAATCAGAACTGCCTGATGCAACAGAAAGAGTTATGAAATAACTGGTGCTAAAAAGTGGTAGATTGGTTTAAATTATACTACAGTATACTTCAGTGGTTATGCTGTCTCTCTAAACAACGCAGTGAGCCCCTAATTTTAATTCTTAGAAAGATACTTCTTTTTTCCTGAAGTTATAAAATTTTTATCAGCTTTTGAAGAACCTTTGTGGCAAGAAAGCATGCTTCTACTTTAAAACTCCCTTTTTGTAATGCTAATGCCCATGCTACATGCTCTTTAATGACAAAAAGACCATTTGAATAATGCAAAATCAAACTAGATGTATATGAAAAACCTCCTGACTGATATCTAAACTCTATATGGAAGTTTTGGATTTATCTGTTTAATATCCTTCTTGGGTCTTTTAGATGACAGAATAGCAAAAAAAAAAATAAATTGATAAAATCACACCAATTTTGGTGGTTTGTTCCACAAAACTTACTTTAAAAGTCTTTCCATCACATACACTAACTTTAGTGTGACTGAACCAGACGTCTAGAGGGACTAACATGAAGACTGATGTTTTTCTTTTTTATATTATTCTGTTTACCACTGAGATTATTTTCTCATCAGTTTCATGATAAATGACTTCAAATTTTTCACTACTTTAAATGATGTCATGAGCCAGGGTCTTGGTTTTTTTACACAGAAACAGAGCAAGACCTTTTTTTTAAAAATAATTATATGTGATAGAAATGTGCATTGCAAACAATTGGCAGTCAGAAGTGGTCTTTCTGCCTGTTTGTTAAAAGTCAGCAAACTTAAAAATGTGTTTGAAATTGCTTAATAAACACTTTTTCTGAAAAAAATTATGAAGACTCTGAACACAAACTGCCCATTGGCAATAACAACCTGATTCCCTTTTCATTATTCATACGCTGACACTGTTCACTGAAAAGAGACTTATTTATATCTCTCTTATCTATAAAGATGCTCATAAAGATAATTAAAAAATGAAGACTTGAGGACATGAAAAAGAAAGCCAAGAACATCTACCAATGTAATAATTGTAAAAGTAGTCGGCATATAAATTAAAGAATATTCATTTATGGAATTCCTACTTATAAACTTCAGATATAAGTATTAATATTGCCCATAGCACCTACTCTGTTTTTATCTTGGCTTACTGCCATTCCTACACTAAGTTATGAAAACTAGATTTGAAATTACTCATTGTATTGCTATTGCATTGTTATTTAAAGGAAAACCTTTAAAGCATTTCCTGAGTTTAATGGAAAAAAAAATTTGCGATCCTCATAACTTTTTTCATTCATCTTCGAAATGATCTAAAGAGATCCATAAACCACAGGCTGAAATTAGTTCCCTAATTTATCCACAAGTACTGAATTTGGTCAGTTGGTTACTACATGGAACTTAATTACCCATATTAAAACTGAAGTCAGATGATATGCTCTGACAAGCAGTCCCTCGCTTGCCACTAAATCTGAATAAAAAAGACCAAGAAATTAAAGAATCCCATGAGTCCCAAAAGACTGAGTCCCGGTTACATATCTTCTCCTGCCCATTTAATGCAACTGGTATGTCTCTAACAGTAAGGTTTCCATCTTTTGGTGACAAGTCATAATCTCCCCATTTGCTGGCAGTTTTTCAGGTTGTATTTCTCCTTTTGTTCCACTGTCCTAAACAGCTCCTCCTTTCCTTGCTTATACTTGACACATACGTTGTAATCACATGCCTCTAATCACTCCCTAGCTCAACTATAGAGCTCTTTAATTGTTCCTTCAAATCAATCCTTTGAGCTTTCTTTGCTTCTTACCTGACCTCATTAGTTTGCCAAAAACTTTCAGGCCAAGACATGCCCATCTAAAAGCTTCCATTCCAAATCTGTCCTCAGTGTTAGTAAAATATGCAGTTAATTTTGTGTTTATCCAAACAGTTGTAAATGAAAATTCCCCGAAACACAGAAAAGATAGATTCTCTCTTTTTTGAGATTTCACTAGTAATTACAGTGATGACCTCTGCAACGTGTGGTAAACAGATGCAGAAAGCAGCCTTGTAGCAAAGAGAAAAAGAAAACAACTTTTCAAAATAAAGAAGGGATCAAATTCTGCTCACGCTTACATAAAGGATAACTGTAAACTTCTGACAGTAGAACACGGTTCAGTGCTACTTACTGAACTTAGATCTTCTACTGGCAGAAGCAGTCCAGCATCACAGCAAAGTTATTCCAACAGTCAAACATGAAGAGCTTTCAAAAATGTCTCTGTAGCTGATGGAAAGATAGCTTACAAAGAATTAATTTTAAATCAAAATCACAGACCAAGTAAGACTAGATAAAATATAATACCTGCCTTTAGCAGCATGTAAAAAATGGTCTTTATTCAGTATTTTTTATTTTGGAAAAATAAAAGAATCGTAAGAAATTAAGCTGAGTTAAAAAAAAACCCCTGAAAACAGATCTAAGATTTTTTTTTTTTTATTGCCACTAGACATGGCACATGCCAGGAAAAGGGCTCTGTTTTTTCAACCCTCTTAAACAAATTAACCACAGCTTTCCTCGTCAATAATGTGTACTGCATTAATTATAGATAACAGACTAAAGACACCTCACTTAAGAATATCCTCAATTGCTACTTGGGATTTGAAGCAGCCAATGAATGGAGATCCAGTACTAATCTTACTGCAAGTAAGTTATCTTACTGTCATCTAAATATGAAGGGTGACAGAAAATGCAGTCACCCTTCCTACCACAGACTCAAGTCATTCAGCCTCCAGCTCTTCATGAATATCCTCATGAAAATAGCTACACTTCATCTCCTATGTATTTCAGGAGACAGCAGGGGAGGCTGGGAGACAAGCGTGAAAGCAGCCACAGTCTTTATGTCAGTGTGAAGAACAAACCCTCACACTGCATCACTGCAATTTACAGTAGCTGAGGATCTCTGAAACTGCAGGGCACCTGCAGTATTTTGTTTGGAAATACCTATTGCTACCACATCAGGAACAATTGTAAACACACAGAAATAAACCTTGCTAATATTTTCTCATCACAGTTACTTTTGTACTGATCCTAATCAGGCAGAAGATGGGTTCATGCTGCCATTTGAACAAAATGATGAACAGAAAAGTCTAATCTCCATATTTCTGCATGTCCAGGCCCCACAGCAGCAGAGTGGTTTCTCAGACAGCAGGCTCTCTGCTCTGCCATCCACACCCTTTGCTGCCTGGCAAGGTTGCAGTCTGTGGGAGAACAGCTAGCTGGGCAGGATTTGCACAGCATACCACAGCAGTGCTTCCATGTCCATAAGTCCACTGCTAACAAGTCACATCCAACCATTCAGCAAGATATAAGACTGAAGTCTCAGGTGAGAACCAAGCTGCCAGCAAGAAAAATGGACATATTTGTTTTGGAAAATATTTAAAAAATAGTATAATTTTACTTTTTATTCTTCTAATAGTGAGATCTGAGTCTGTATTTTTTCTGAAGTAACAAGGAAGTTCAGGTGTATGTTCCTCATGACACTTTGAGATTGCTTAAGAAATGCTTACATGAAACTGCAAGAGTTACAAAGCATGAGCAAACTTCCTCACTTCAATCAAACTGGCACATTTTCAAATTTCAGTATGACACATTTATTGCAAGTTTACAGTAATGTCCATCTGCCCAGAAGTGAGAATGCAAAGCCTAAGAGTTTGTAATGCTTCACTGGAATTTCACTTGATGATTAACAGATCAGCATTTCCAACTAACAGAAGTATGTCTACCAGCCAAAAGAAAAAAAACCAAACCTCTAAGAAATAAAACCTCCTGCACAGATACCCATACCTGTAAATCCAGTCAGGAAAGGGCCTCAGAAGAAAAGACGATGTTCCACAAGCAGTGCAATTATTTCACCCTTTAAAATTCATGGCAAAATAAAAATTGTTCATTAATGCTTCTTTAAAGCCTGGAATAGTCACGTTTGGATGATGCTCTTAGTCACATAATTTAGTTTTAGGTAGTCTGGAGAGGGGCAGAGCGCTGGACCCTATGATTCTCATGGGTCCCTTTGAACTCGAGGTAGTCTATGATTGTATGATGTGCTGTAAGATACATATGCACGCACATTTGTATACGTGTAATAAGAGACACATATGTGTATACAGAGGGTATACAACATGTCTTGCCACTATAGTGGCAAAGCCACTAAAGTGAAAAGTTTCTCCTTGTAGGACAAACTCCAAGCACAGCATCAAGCCTGTTATGCCACTCACATCTTTCCTCTTTGCAAATGACAAAAGGTTATAGACAAAGCTGGAGAGATTTCATTAAGTCTGTTCAGCCACGGCTGAGCTTCATCTTTGATGTAAAACTGAATCCACTGTCTTCATGTGGACCAATTTCTACATCTGCGAATCTGGGTAATTAATAGTCAGTGAATTAGTCCAATTAGTTTCAAATTAAATCTTTTTTAAAACTGATGGAGAATTACAGCGACTAAGCCATCTTAATTAAATATTGAAGGAATAAGTGGAAATAAGCATCAGGAGAGGTGTTTCTGTGCTCCACTCCCAATGCACAAAGGTTTTAAGGGCATTTACTGGAACTCATTAATTGGATTTGTGAGCTTCTGCTTGACCCCTGATTTTTCTTTAACACATTAAGGCTGTGTAAAATATTTATAAATGCATAAATATGTAAAGCACAGCTACTGAAAATGGATTTATAAAGATTTCCTTCGAAAAACCAAACCAGTGAAGCCTTTGCTAAAATATCCTAAAGAAAAAAAAAATACACTCAACAATAGTAACTTACCATCTCAAAGCAGTACAGAAACACTCTATTGCCTGTGTGAAAAATATGTAGTAAAAAAAGTACTCCTGCAAAAATAGCACAATCATTCCTCTCACAATAGGTGCAACATTACAGTAGCCCACAAGTGTAGAGTGGTGAAAAATGAATCAAACAAGTAACCTGACAATAAGCAGAGAAACAGTGAGGATGAAAAATTCTCAGTGAAAGTGGAAGATGGGATGGAATTTTTTTCTATAAATATTTATGGCATCAGTGATGATCATTACTCTACTTGGTGAAGAGCAAACAAAAAAGAATTAGATTGTGGTATCTTTTGCCACCATGCTGAGGGAAATCCTATCTCATTGTTCTCTGCTCAGGGCTCTGCATCACCAGCTCCCCCCTTCCAGACCCTCAGGCTGCAGCCAGGAAAGAAGCAGTGCATGGGATAAGTGGTTCCAAATGCAGCTGCCCCAGCTGGTACCAAGGGAGCAGCTAAGAGAGGTGTTGGGCCAAGGGAGTGAACAACTTCAACTCACACCACCATGTTTCTTTTCTTGGTGGTATGCATTATTGTCTTGCTCCTCTCACCCATTAATGACTTTCTCGAACACACAGAAACTGGTTATCTTTGGGACCTCGAATTAATCTGACTAAGCTCAGTAATATCCAAAAGTATTAAAGGAAAATGAGCACTTAATAATGTAAGAGATTTATAAAAATACCTTTCAGTGCTCCCCCTTGCTTCGAAAGACCACTGATGCATACCAGGTAGCATTGGTATTTTTTCATCACAGGTATCTCTTTGCCCAAACTTTAAAAACTGTTCTGTTCTGGACAAGGAAGGAGGCGTGGTGACATCTGCTCATCCCCTGGGCGACATATCCACCGGTGGCTCAGGAAGCTTCCTTTGGTTACAGAAGTTGCATTAGATGTCTCCTGCCCTTTAATCCAGGATATAATAAAGTCAGTGAGGATGCTGCCTTTAAATTCACCATGAACAGTACTTGCCACCTATCTCATTGTTCCCTTTCTCTGCATTGCACCAGCATAATCATTCTGAGATACAGGAGAGGTCTACAGCAATGAAACACTTTAGACAGACTGACTGATCTGGCTACATGGTTCAAGGCAACTTGAAGGCTTGATCAGAAACCAATGAGGAAAGATATCCTAAAGAAGTAAACAAAGACGAAAAATATTTATGGCATAATTTCTTTCCTCTCATTACAATCTCAATTTTCAAAAAACAAAAATTGTAAATATATGCCCTATTCTCATTGATGCTCAATAGCACTCAGGCCTTATATTGCACAGAGGTTATTTAAAGAAAGGCAATATTTGCCTCATAGTAGCTAAAGAGGCACAGGCAAGAAATAGTGACACTATGTTCCATTATCCAAGTCTCAGTCACCAGCCTGAGTGTTTCAAGTACTCTTGCAAGAACAAGATACGCCTTCACAGAGTATCATCTTGAAAAAAGTTTAACTATAATCCCTTGAGTTTCATCTTTTGAGACTAGATTAAAACACACATCTCACAAAAAAGAAGAACATTGCATTGATTCTGTTTTTTATTTACCATCTTCACAAACATGATGAATTCAAAGCCTATGTTGAAGATGAATATTTTTATCTGGCCCTGTGCTTTAAAATGACTTCATATTGTTGAGCTATTTTTCATCCAAAATGATGCCCAGATCGGTTGCAATTTATTGCTTATGAGTAAAATTGCAGCTGACCATTAAAGGGTCAGCTGAAATAAAACCACCCCTGCCAAGTGATTTCACAGCCTGATGTTTGAGCAGCAGGAATGTTTTCTAATGTGTTTTAAAAACATTCCCCTTGTTTCTGAAATTAACCACACTCACAACAAAAAAACCCAACTTTGACTGCAAAACATCACAGACCACAATGGCAAGGGTGATGGGAAGCTGAACAGGGATGTTGGGAGATGCTGGAGATAAGCACTTTTCTGCAAGGTTCATCTGCTGTGGTCTTTCAAGTCTTGGACTGTAGTAACTCCCTCAAGATTTTCTGAGATCAAACAAAACCCATCCTGATCAGGAGTCTCCTGTCTCCCACATTCATCGCAGCTATCCAGACTTCTAAATTTAGGGCTCAGTTTCTGGCTCTGGTCCAGATTTTGCTATCTCTGCGTTTCAGCTCCGATTTGTGAAGCCTCCTGACTGCAGGTGGGCAGCTACAAACAACCCAGCATCACAGGCTTGCTTACACTGGTGGCCTCTAGACAAAATTAAAGAAAGTATGACCATGTGAAAGTTTTCATCTCAGTTTAATAACCCTGTAAGTGTAGCTCTTGGGCTGTTGTTTGGGGGGGGGAGGGGGGGTTGGTTAGTTGATTGGGTTTTTTGTTGTTATTTTTGGGGGGTGTTGTTTGGGTTTTTTGGTGTGTGGTTTTTTTTTGTTTGTTTGTTTTGTTTTAGGGGTTTTCTTGTTGTTTTGGTCTGGCTTCGGGAGGTTTTTTGTTTTTGTTTGTTTGGCTTTTTTTTTTTTCTTTTTTTCTTTTAAAATAAGATGATATTACCCTGGCATAAATAGAGATAAAAAGGTGACATGCAAGGGCTTGTGCAGCTCCAAAACAAGGGATAATTGCAAAACACAAGTCTTACCTCATCACTGTCCACTGCATATTTTTCAACTTTAGCCACAGACAAATCGGTGTTTATGTCATGTTTTGATTTTTCCTCTTATTTGCTGTCTAATTTTCCTATATCTTTTTTAAAAATACATCAATTAAATGCCAATCCTTTTCTTTGCAATCTTTTGTTTACATTTGCATGTCCATGACATTAACTACTTAGAATTATAGAATGGTTTGGGTTGACCTTTAAAAGTTATCTAGTCCAACTCCTCCTGCACTGAGTAGAGAAATCTTCAGCTAGATCAGAGCTCTGTCCAACCTGACCTTTAATGTTTCCAGGGATGGGACATCTACCACCTCTCTGAGAAACCCATTCCAGGATTTTACCAACCTCCTTGATTATAAAAAACATTTATCTTGCATTTAATCTGAATCAACCCTCTTCTAATTTAAAACCATTCCCCCCTGTCCTATCACTACAGATTCTACTAAGACCTTGTCTCCATCTTTCTTATAAGCCCCCTTCAGGTACTGAAAGGCTGCAATGAGGTCTCCCTGGAGCTTTCTCTTCTCCGGGCTGAACAACACCATCCCTCTCAGCCTTTCCTCATGGAAGAGGTGCTCCATCCCTCTGATCGTCTTTGTGACTCCTCCTCTGGACCCACTCCAACTGGTCCCTGTCTTTCCTGTACTGGGAACCCCAGGGCTGGATGCAGCACTCCAGGTGGGGTCTCACCAGAGCAGAGTAGACAGGTAGAATCACCTCCACTGACCTGCTGAACACACTGCTTTTGATGTAGTCCAGGATTCAGTTGGCTTTCCAGGCTGTGAGCACACATTTGCCAGGTCGTGTCCAGCATCTCATTCACCAGCACTCCCAACTGCAGAACTGTTCTCATCAAGGCTGCTCTCATAGTTCACAGCTAGTAGATATTTGGGACTCTGAGTTTGGGTATTTTTTGGATATTGTTCCATTTCACCTTTTCTCACCAAGCTCTGTTAAGACCAGAAATTACTGATTTCAATTAAGCTCTTCTTTATTATTATTCAGCAGAACTTATATTTAAACTTGTCTTTCCCCCAAAACTGTTGACATGCTTCTATAACTACTTTTAAGGATACCTCCTTACAAGAAATTAAACTGCAAAGCCTTTTGATTATTTCTAAGTGTTGTCAGATTAAACATATTAAAAGCTGTTTCATAATGTCAAAAGGAATGCTCTGTACAATAATTTGTCTTCTGATGGTAATTTTGTATAATCAATGCCACCTTTTCATGCAATCTTTTGTGTTCTGAACTTTATTCTGTACTCCTATGTGGAAAATTGGATGTGGAGGCACAGAACACAGCTCACAAATACATTGAATAAATAAAATAGTGAAATGAAGGGAAAATTATTTTAAAATATCAACTATTTTTTAATTTTAAGCACTATCAGTGTCTTCATTCAAATTACAAGGAAGGAAATGATGGTAGCCAATGTTACAGATTACCACCCTTCACATCATCACATCATCACTTCATCTCCACATCGGGACATCAAAATTTTCTGCTGGCTGTTTGCTCCATCTTTCATTACAGACAAGCTAGCTACAGCCCTCACTGAAGTGGCAGGTGAGGGGGCAGGTTCAGCCCCAGAATCTACTGGTCATATCAACATACCCACAGTCTATCCAGTTTCTCCTGACTAAATCCAGCAGTGGAAGATGATGCACACCACACCAGGGGACAAACAGATCCATCCAAATGCAGGCAAAACATTTTAAAGCCATGCAGGGCAGCCACATCCACTCAGCATGAGCCCCAGACAGCTTGAAACTAGCACAAAAGACCTGATAATGTTTCCTGACTCCCCATCATGCAGGCACAAGGTAAAACACAACATGTGTCTCCCCCTACATCCTCCCTCTCCACTTTGGTTTACACTTTTCCTTGCAGAAACCACACTAAGCTATAGGTCTAGATAATAGTTGATGCAATAGTAAAAATCTCCTATGTAATAATCTCATCATTTTTGC